AGAAGGTTAACCCGGGTTAACTGTTCTGTAAAGCAGATAATTTTCCATCATTTGTAAGTCCATACGCACACAAGAATATTGTGCTTTACAGAAATACGCAAACCCGATACAAAATGTGTCCGATCGAGTCCGTGTCCTATCGGGCCTGTGTCCGATGCCATGACGTACGACAGACGGCTAAAACCTTCTGAAGGTCACTCGGGGTGCATATTTTTCGGGCTCCCCCGATTGATTATCACTGTCGGAGTCACAACAAAGATTTTCACCAAGAAAACCGCAAGAAAAAATCAAAATTCGGAAAAGGCCCTATTCTGTAGAATTACCCTAAAAACCTTCTGAAGGTCACTCGAGGTGCATATTTTTCGGGCTCCGTCGATTGATTATCACTGTCGGAGCCACAACAAAGGTTTTTACCAAGGAAACCGCAAGAAAATATCAAAATTCGGAAAAGGCCCTATTCTACATAATTACCGAAAATTTTATTGAGTCAATGTTTTCACATTTAATTGCATAATTTTCAACAAATTAATTTGTATTCAAGTCTGCACCTTAAATTTTTCGTACTGTATTTTAAAGGATGTAGAATTAAGTATTAAAAATATTTCACTATATTTCAATAATTTACCTGAATGTAGTGCTTAAGTTTATCAACAAGAGCGGAACAAACTTCTGGGATGATATTACTGATTGTTTGTTTGGAGACTTTAACAGGTACTGTAAGCTTGCATAAGAATCGCCACCAGTTGCCAAAAAATGCAAGGTTATAGTTAACCTTTCTTCTACAGATATTGATTTCCTAAATGTCGTGTCTTTTTAAGAAATCTGTTCCCCCACTAAATTTATCAGATATTCAAACTCAGAGGGCGACATCCTTCTGAAGTTTTTGTACTGCCCATTAACAGATTGAAACTTTAAGTCGAGCAATAAATTTGAGCCACTGTATACTTCGCGATTCGCAAAAATTCTTTTTATCCACCACCACCGTTGTTTCATTTTCTTCTTCAATAAATAATGAAGAAAAATGTAATTAGAAGCAGCAAATTGTACAGACATTGTCTCCAAAGTAGGCAACATGAAATGATACGAACTGTACCAGGTGGAAAACTAAAATAAAGATACGGATAAATGATACGGATACGAACTGAAAACAACGCCTTGCCGTTGTACGGTGTGATTAAGGAATCAGGTGGGGTGGTTAAGAACCGAGAGATGCGATAATATACGTAGCACTTAATAAGCTATGTATACAGGGTGAGTCACAACATTTGTGCCAGAGCTCGTGAGAAGGTAGAACGGATCGAGATGAACAGAAAAGTCCTGAACCATTTGCAATTTTCGCAATAGTTAACGAGTTATTAATTATCAAAAATCGTCGTCTTTGCCCTGCCCACTGTCCAATTCGAGCGCGTGGCGAGATGTGACGGCACGGCGATCGATATTGCCAGGCGAGGGATGGGGACGCGAGACGCGGGAGCGGCGACGTAAGCTCGCCGGCAACGGCGCGCTGTCCCGCCTCGTCAGTTCACAATTAAGTGGTAATCATGGAAAAAAATACATTTGCGATCGGTGAGTATCAATAAAATTTATGAAAAATTGTTTTATTTGAAAAAAATATAAAAATGTTTTTTCTTTCCAGATGTTTGCATTATTTCCATTCAAATGGAAAGTTGGAAGCCCACAGCGTGGACTGTCAACAGATAAATAACTGCGCGATCATATTACCCAGCGAGGAGGACAAGTGGCTCAGCTTCAACAACCACAGCAGGAAGGAACGCGTGCCGTTTGTAGTGTACGCGGACCTTGAGTGCATCTTGAAAAAGACTGATACCGATACCAAAGCATACCAGCATCATGAGGTATTTAGCATCGCGTGCTACGTCCACTGCTCGTACGACGACTCGCTGTCAACGTACCGTTTCCACCGCGACATTGATTGCATCGCGTGGTTCGCCGCCAACTCAAAGTGTTATCACAACACGTAAAAGAAAAATTATCCACTAATGTCCCTATGGAAAATTTGTCGAAGGAACAGTGGGGGGGGATTTCGTAGCGCCACACACTGTCACATATGCGAGAAACCATTCGCACAGGGTGACGATAGAGTACGCGACCATTGCCATCTAACCGGGCAATATAGAGGCCCCGCGCATTCTAATTGTAACTTAAATTACAAAGATGCGTATTTCATTCCAATCGTTTTTCATAATTTATCCGGCTATGACGCACATTTCATAATTAAAGAAATCGCTACAGCGTTCGAGGGCACAGTTGATGTATTACCGACAACGAAGGAAACATACATTTCCTTCACAAAAAATGTAAAAAATACCATAGAAAACTCAAAGCGACAAAATTGTATAAAGCTGCGATTTATTGACTCATACAAATTTCTGAGTACTAGCCTCGATAGATTGGCATCGTTTCTCCATAGATACCAATTAAAAATTGTACGATCTGAATTTTCAAAATTATCCAGCGACGATTTCGATCTATTGACGCGTAAAGGTGTGTTTCCATATGAATATGTGGATTGCGCGGACAAGCTGCAGGACTCGCGTCTACCTCCGCGCGAGTCATTTTTCAGTTCTCTGACCGGTGACATCGTATCAGAGAGCGATTACATGCGCGCCGAGAATGTCTGGAAACGATTCTCCATCCAAACCCTAGGCGACTACAGCGATTTATATCTAAAGATCGATGTCTTGTTATTGGCCGATATTTTTGAAAATTTTCGCGATAGTAGCATCAACAGTTATGGATTAGATCCCGCGTATTATTATACATTACCAGGATTCACGTGGGTCGCCATGCTTAAACATACGCGTATAAATTTCGAACTCCTCACGGACATTGATATGGTCATGTTTGTGGAACGCGGCATACGCGGTGGTCTCAGCCAATGTTCCGGTAGATATGCTCGAGCCAATAACAAGCACATGCAGTCTTACGATCCATCGAAACCATCCTCATACTTGATGTACTTTGACGTCAATAATTTGTATGGTTGGGCGATGTGTCAGCCGCTGCCTTACGTGAGTTTTCGATGGGTCACTAACGTTACTGATTTTAATGTAAATGCGATCGCTGTGGACTCATCGACAGGTTACATTCTCGAGGTCGATCTCGAATACCCACAAAGTATACACGACGAGCACACTGACCTACCGTTCTGTCCGACGCGCGATAAGCCGCCAGGCAAGCGACAGGAAAAGCTACTTGCGACTGTGTATGATAAGAAGCGTTACGTCATACACTACCGCAACCTGCAACAGTGCACGCGTCATGGGCTTCGCGTGACAAAAATACATCGCATATTGGAGTTCTCGCAATCTCCATGGTTATGCAAATATATTGAACTCAACACACAATTTAGAACGTTAGCCAAAAACGATTTTGAAAAAAATTTATACAAATTAATGAACAACGCGGTATTCGGTAAAACAATGGAAAACGTGCGGAATCATGTTGACGTTAAACTTATAATCTCTACAAAAATATCTTTACTGCAAAAGTATCTTCTTTACAAAAATAGTGTCTCCACAAAAATCTTCTGTACAAAAATATCGTCTCTACAAAAATATCTTCTCTACAAAACTATCTTCTCTACAAAAGTAATGATATCAACAAATTGCGCCAAATAAAACAGCGGATATTTATACAAACTAGTTGCTTTAACATTAGTTTTTGATTAAAAAATGTTATATTTCTTAATAAATCAAACTAAAGATTTTATTGGAAAAGATAATCGAGTTAATAATAAAACACCGATGAAAAGAATAGCAACTTTTTAGAAATTTAGAAACTCTGTATCTGTTCAGGCGAATTAAGGCGTGTGTCTATGACGCTAGTACTTGGTCCAAGTTCTAGTTTCGAGGAATGCGTAGCCAATCAACTTGCAGCTTTTGTGGAACAGCTA